GTTTGGGCCGCGAGTTTCTCCTTCATTACTGACTTATTTTGTTAAATACTTAAATATCATTAACAAAGATTTGCTCAAATTCATTGCTTGTTGTTGAGTCTTATGTTTTGTTGATGACTTCCTTGTGCTATGCGCCAAACGATTGTCTAACGCTACTGCAGATGGAACCATGGAGAGAACTGTAATAGACTTGTCACAGGTTCCAGGGCGCTACCGAATGAATGATTTAATTATCCATATATGATTGATTTGCCTCCATGTTTGATTATCTTTCCGATAAATGTTTGGTTACACACACATAGCGTGATATCACGTACAATCTAGTTCTCTCATGCTAACCTAAAAACTGTGTGTGTATCTTTACATTATTTGTATTGCATATTGAAGTTTAAAGTTGTGCATATTATTTGTGTTCATATTGAAGTTCAAAGTGTTGCATATTATTTATATTGAATATTGAATTTCACAGTGTGCATCTTTACATTATTTGTATTGCATATTCAAGTTCAAAGTGTTGCATATTATTGGATTTGTAGGTTAGCATTTTAAGCATGGTTTGTAATTGACTGAATCGATTGATTCTAATGAATTTATGAAATTTTGGTTGAAATAACTAGATTGTCTGATTTTGTCAATTTATGAATTATTCTCTATTAATATATAATCGATCAAAGTTTAACTCTTTCACTTAAAAAATCAAATTTACCTAAATAAATAGGGATGGAGGGAGTATTAATTATTTTTAATCCTAATCTTAGATTTTGACATAATTATAACGGAGTACATTAAATATCGTTTCACTTTAAATCCCATGTGGTCTTTGGGTGTCAGCACTTCTCGATGGATCAGTTACAGAAACATGGGGCATGTGATATGTTGGTGACACTTATAGCCTTTAGTTAGTTGATGCCACACAAGTATGGAACCCTATCTATTCAATTCAAGGCTATATAAGGGAAACACATGCCCGGCCGGCCGGTGGAATACATTTTATTTCTTTGATCCATTTATAAAATTAAAAACGAATTGCCCTACAGATGCCATCATTTTCATTGAAAGGACTGCTCGAGTTAAGGACAATTAATTTAATGTATTGAGCTTTTGAACCACTAAAGTGATGTGTACAAATGGGGTACACCAAGCATTAATCTAAAAAAATCAAAATCAAAATGTTCATTGGCTTGTTCACCATTATTGTGAGTTTATTCCCACATTCTTCTCCAAAATTTGCGACTAATGTTCCAAAAAATATGAATCAATTACACATTTCTAACCAAATTAAAAGTTTTTTACGAAAATGTGACTCCAAGTGTAATTATTATAGTAGTAACTTTAACTAGTTATAGTAACTTATGCTTAATTTTTATATTTAAATGATCGGGACACTAAATATTAGTCACATTTTTGTAAAAAAGTTTTATTCCGTAGAACTTTTATGTATTTTTTTCTGGTGTGGACACTTCAATTACATCTAAAATGTGAGAAAACCAGTGGGCATAGCTCAACTAGTAGATAAGGAGTGTCATGAGGGGTAAGTCTCGGGTTCGAATCCCGTCAATTGCAATGAGATGTTACTATATTAAAATGCATATATAGAGTCTCTGCAAGTACCAGGGACAAGACTTTACTTTCTATGTATCAGCTTGTGATTAAAGTCCAATTTACATCCTCCCATATAACTGTCCGGTGAGGTTGGGGGTCCTTAGGAATGGGGTGTCACTCCTTTTTTCCTAAAATTTGAGAATGACCCAAAACATTGTATAGTACAATTCTAGTTGGTAACAGTGCACATTTCTTGTTAAAAAGGTAATGCATCATCCGAAGTGGCAGAAAAAGTTTAATTTATCAGCAAAATGTTACCACATTTTCTAGTTTATGGGCATTATATATGGCAATGCATATTTTTATTTCATCTAATAATGCACAACTCTTAAATCTAGCACACCAGATTATATATTGTATATAACTCGAAAATTGTATATTATTAATAAAAATGGTCTTCGCCTTCAAACTCTTGAGGCATTAGCATTTTTTCTTCAAAAGTCCACGAACAAAAAAGTTTTTCCTAAAATATTACCAACATATCTTATTTATGAATAAAAATGTGACTGAAGTTTACATGTGTACTTTTGTAGTCATCATGATGTAATTAACTTTGAACACAATTATAGTCAATAAAAGCTACCAAGTAATTAACATTTCCTGTCCACTATTGTTGTTTTGGTCTGGTCATATATTATGAATTATTTAAAAAAGAAGCAAAACCTAATTAATTAGTAGCTACTTAACCTACTTTTCTATATGGGAGGCATTTCTCTTGCTACAATTAAACTATTATTTGGAAAAACCAGCTGAAGTTGCAATATACTTCCTCCGTTATTTTTTATATGCAACGGTCCACTTTTCACGTTTGTCAACGCACAAGTTTGACCATTAATATCTTTCATTTCTTATTAGTACAAAATTAAAAAAAATTAGATTTTTAAAATTTGAGTTGAGAAGAATTTAACAATACTTTTTTTAAATTTATTTTATGATACATTAATACATAAAATAGAGTTAAAGTAGAACACGTGAATATTAGAAAAAGTCCAATGTTGAATTTAAAAAAGAACGGAGAGGTACTACAATACGTTACTACTTGTAAGTTGTACTATGTAGTACTACGTATTATTTTACTACCTCCGTAACAGATATATCTTCCCATTTGAAAAGTAGGTGAGAGTAAAAACAATGAAAGGAGATAAATTATTGAGAGTATGATTGGAAGATAATGAAATAGTGTGACGGAATGAAGGATAAATAATCCAAAAAAGTAGTTGTAATAGTGTATTATTTTTAAAATTATTGAGGGTATGATAGAAAGATTTAAAAATATGAAAATATGAATGATACAGCTAAAAACGTAAAGCCGGAAGATATGAATGTTACTAAGGGAAGGGAGTATTTATTAGAGACCATTGTGTGCAGTGGCGGAGCCAGAGGTTTGTCCAAGGAGGGGCAAACCAAAGACTAAAAAATTTAAAGTTCGTGTCCAAAATATAATAAGAACAACAATAGCGTAATAATTTAACAAAAAATTATAGTTCATTACATACTACTTGATTTACTTCTGCAACCTAGGCGAATCAATCCTACGAGTTTTCATATTTTGAAAATGCTGCATAATAGCTTCATTATCAATTGCTTGAAAAATGTCTCTTTCGATGTAGCATATTAAGCAATCCGTAAGATAGTCATCTCCCATCTTATTGCGAAGATCTGTCTTGATAATATTCATTGCTGAGAAAGCTCTTTCAACTGTGGCTGTTGCAACTGGTAACACTAGAGCCAACTCAATAAGACGATAGACCAAGTGAAAAGATTTGTGAATTGTAAGCTCAACCATCTTCTTAGACACTTCACCAATACTTTGTAAAGTGGAAAATGCTTCATTTCCTCTCATCTCATATATCCAAACTTGGAGTTGTTCTTTAAGCTCCATTTGCTCAACAGCTGAAAAATCAGATGAATATAACTCCGCAAGACTGAGTAGCTTTGACTCACAGAAATTGGAAAATTTATCTTTAGGATCAAGGCAAGCTAAACAAGCGAGTAAATCTGTATTTGACTCACTAAAGTGATTATCCATTTCCAGATTGACCTGGTCTATAACCTACAATAAGGTAATAATAAAAAGTAGTAGTAATAGTAATAATAATAATGATAATAATAATAACAACAACTAATAAATAATTTAAATTTTAATAAAAAATACCTGATAAAAAATATCAGCTCGAAAGTGATGATAATTTGTTACCGGATGGCGAACGCGTCTAGAACGATGAGTTGTATCTTCCATGTTTAGAATGTCAATTTTATTCTTCACACAAAATTTACTGACATCTTCTAATAGCTCTTCTCATCCACTTTCTCTCAAATCTTGGAACTTCTCTTTAGTGCTTTTAATCTATATTTCATTTTTTTTACTTTTTCTGAAAATACTTTTTTATTTATTTTAACACTTCATCTTAAAATAATCTTAAGTTGTACTTATTGTTTTTAAAATTAAAAAAGAAGTCGGGCAAGAAACATATTATAAGTAATACTAGTAAAAAAATTAGTCGGAGCGGGGACGCTTGCCCCCCCTTGCCCCCCCCCCCCCCCCCCAGCTCCTCCACTGATTGTGTGGACTGTGGAGGTGGATAGAAGTTACTATAACTGAAAGGTAGATTCTACGGTACCTTTAAGGTACCGTACCTTTGTCCACATGGACCAATCAGAATGAAGAAGTTGAATTATTTAAATCTAAATTAAAAATGATGTAATGATTTGAACCAATCAAGTGAGTGATAGGTACGGTGCCCCATTTTTAAAATGGGTACCGGAGTTGTCACCTTCAAATGTCAACTGAACAAAAATACAAAATGTACCGTGTACGTGTTGACTTTTACAACTGAAATAACGAATGAAAAGAATGTAGTTACCATAAAAATATTTTTTAATAGAAACAAGATAAAATTTGTATAATGTGAGTAATTAATATTTGGAAAAATTCTCGAAATAGGACTAAAACAGTTTCAAATTAAAATTCCAAAATAGAATTGTCATATTTTTTATTCCTAAAATAGGACTAATTAGTATATGTTAGTCCTATTTTGGGAATAAAAATATGGCAGTCCTATTTTAAAATTTTCAAACTGTTTTAATCTTATTTCAGATAATCTCTCTTAATATTTCGAGAGGGAGTATTACACTATTACGTAGTAGTGGTAGTACATAATAGCGGCCGGGCTAGTGGAGTAGTGGAGCTGCATGTTCTCCTATGAATGACGCCAAGCTCCTCTAGTTGATGTGTAAACACCTTATTGCATCAATACAATATATCGATCTACCATTCGACATTCGGCCCCAACATTAAAGAAAAAAACAATCTTTTTTTTTTTGAATTTCATTTGTTATTTTATTGATTTGTTTCCCTGCAGAGGCCTATATAAAGCACGTCCAACTCCACAAGAAATCCTCACAAATATATACTCTCTACAAAAAGGAAGAAAGTCTTGAATAAGTAGTGAGCTTTAGTTAACAACAATGGCAACTAAGCATGTTTCAGGCCTTGTGTTCTTTGCCATATTCCTGCTTGCCTTCTCAGTGCTTTCTGCCACTGCTATGGCTTCCAATTTCGATGTAGTAAGTGCATGCCTTCATATTTTTTATTTAATTTATTTCCTTTTAAGGGCTGTTCATGCCATCATCACATGTGTATATATATGGGGTTTGCCATCTCAAAAACTCATCCATTATTAATTATTGTATCAGGCACGTTATGGTCCCGGAAGTTTGAGGCCCACACGTAAGTCATCTGCACTTTCAATATAAAATCTAAGTGGCTAGCTAGCTAGGAGATCTATATATTTATTTATTCTTCTAACTTTGATCTAGTAAGGTGTTCTTCTAACTTCCGTCGATCTAACTTGGATCTTGTAAAAATGACAAGAGAGGCTTTTCTTGTAACATTCTTTTTGTGGGACCTTTTGTTTGAACATGGGAACTCATAGTGGTATACTGACGGACCGTATAGATTAGTCTCGTAACTTTACTGACTTGCAAATTATATCATGTAATATAAGTAATAAGTTTGTCCACGTTTAGTTCTTTTCAGTGAAATTAAAATTTCACAAAAAATGCAGCTAATGTGATCTTTTCTGTTGGAAAAGTCATTGACAAGCTAAGGACAATTTATTAACTAGAGCATACATGAAATCTGCGCATGATTAAAATTACATGATTAATAGTGGACACATGTATTAGTTACGGGACAAAATATAGAGTTGTCCCATCTAAATGAGTTTGTAAGTTGTAACAGTGTAACACGGATTAAAGATTAACGTAGCTAACTAATTAAATCACTATATATATACTCCATCCGGTTCTTATTAAAGTTCTCACTTTCCTTTTTGGGATGTCCCTTATTTAAGTTCACACTTCCATTTTAGGACACAAAACAATACAAAACAGTGTCAAACAGTGCCAAACAGTGTCCAAACAGTGCCAAACAGTGTCAAACAGTGCACTCCACAGTAAAGTCAAATTCATTTTCTTAATATATGTGAAGTCAAACCGGGAACTTTAATAAGAACCGGAGGGAGTATATATATTGTAGTCAAAACAAAACAAAAAAAAACTAAATCACTATATTGATGACCTAGCAACTGAGTGTTTGTCATTGCTTCTACCTTAGAAAGATGATTTTTAAAGTGACTTTGAACAAAGTGTTTAATAAGAAAAGTTGGTAGTGTTTTGATAAAAAAGTGCTTCCGAAAAAGTAAAAGTTAGTAGTGTTTGATAAAATAAGTGTTTTTTTGTGTAATAGAAAAAGTAAAAAGCAGTTTAAAGCACCTCTCAACTTGCTTCCAGCTTTTAGCTTTAAAGTGCTTAATTTAAGCGGCAATTGTCACTTAAAACACCGATTTCAATTTTTTTAAAGCCAAAAGTTGAAAAACATTCTTAGTGTTTGCTATCACATTAAATCAGTGCTTCTAAGCCTTTAGATTAAAAAAAGCTAAAAAATGTGTTTGCTAATCTCATCTTCTAATTAAAAAAATGCTTTACAGTTAAAAGCTAGAAGCTGGAATATACCAACTTCTAAGTGCTTCTGGTATACTTATAATTAACTCAAACTTTATGGATAATAATAATGGCAACAAAATCTCAAAACCCCCCAAAATGCCCCAAACATAAGTGCTTGTATGTATGTATGATTTATGCTGCAGGGATATTTTTGTAATTTTTCAAAAAAATAGTACATCACAATCACTTTTTTATCAACACTCCAACTTTTACATTTTAATAAAAATCACTTCTATTCTCAAACACTATCTACTTTTACTATAAATCACTTTTCTAATAATCTCTTTAAAAAATCACTTTAATAAAGCACAATAAACCGCAAACACTCCCTTAAGTCACATCTCCAATAGGAGAAAGAGAAGCATTAATGTATAGTATGAATGATGACAAGGTATTATATTGTTGGAATATATAATGCAGAGTGTTTGCCGCAATGTACAAGGAGGTGCAGCCAGACACAGTACCACAAGCCATGCATGTTTTTCTGCCAGAAATGCTGCAACAAATGCCTTTGTGTGCCCCCTGGTTTCTATGGCAACAAGGCGGTCTGCCCTTGCTACAATAACTGGAAGACCCAGCAAGGAGGACCAAAGTGCCCTTGATCTAGATATAAAAAAATCACACCATTTTACATCTACTTAATTTCAATTACTTCACAAGTAATCCATTTTCAAGATGTTTTAAGAAATAGTAATCCTAAATATTAATAAGATATAGTCACTTACTCACTTTCTCTATATAAGATCCATAACCATGTTTGCATTTTAAATGTGATTTTGTTCACACATTAAGGAACACTCTCTGTATGTTACTAATTAATATGAATAAATTACCCATGTTGTAATTGACATGTTCCATAATTTTTATGTTTTTACTGTTTAGTATTTCTATCTTTAATGGTTATCATATTATCATATGTCTACTCAATTCAAAGTGTATTATTGGGGCATGAAATTGTAATCCACAAGATATATGAAAGCGGCCTTGTTAAGATTTTGTCCAATTGTCCTTGAATACTACGTAGATCTTTCCTAGCTTGTATTCTACTTCTCTAGCAATTAATAAACCACAACAAAAAAAGTAACGGTATTGACACGGATTTGACACAGATTAAACGAATATGACACGTATCATGATACTCTGTATATGTTTTAATAGCTCGTAACAAAATAGTGTTGACATGATATTTAGGACGGATTTGACGTATTCGTGTCAAATCCGCACCAAATATCCTATAAACTTTGGCGACTCTGCTAAAAATTCATGATAAATCCGTGTGAATTCCGTTATTTTTTAATAGTGAATTCAACCATATTTTGCAATTGAAAATTTGTTAGTAACATACTGACAGCCTTTGGGCCGTAACACACGGAAGCTGGAAGGTATTCGGGCCAATCATAGCTCAGGCATGGATCTCTAACAAAAAAAAGACATAGATTGGTCAGAGGTAACGGTTAAAGTGGGGTTGGTGTTTATGCTAGAATAAACTAATCTAAAAAAGTATTGATTGAATGGGAATCGAACAAATATAAATCTACGATGAATCGATCAAGAACAAAGAAATTTAATCATTTAACGTAAAATGAAGAGGTCGTTTGGCAACCCTCATTTTCGACTGATCAGGCTTATCAGCCAACTTTTTTACCGAACACGTAAATTTTGCTTTCACGCGCTGAATTGTATAATAAGCCGAAAAAGTAAGGTTGGAGTTACTTTTCTGGCTGTATTGGCTGAAGTTACTGTAGATGATCATTTTAGCTATTTTTACATATAATTTTTTCTTTATTTTATTAATAAAATATTTTTTAAAAATATTTTTTTCTTGTATCAGCAAAATCAGCCAATGCTTCATAAATTTCAACAGAATCAACCAAAACAGACGATTTTCGTGCTTCTAAACGGGCTCGAAGCGTTCTGAATTAGTTGTGGTGAACAAATGACTGTTGAATGAATAATGGAATTACATCATGTCATGCTCCTATATTTATTCTAAACTCCCCCACCTAGTCGCCACACGTAAGTCATTTACACTCAATATAAAATCTAAGTAGTTGTATATTCCTCTATAACATTCCTATCTTTTCACTTTCATTTTTTAATCATGACATTCATATTTTCTTATTTCTAAATCCTCTCATCACATCTTAATATTTTGAAAATAATACACTATTACAACTTTTTTGTATTTATCCTTCATTCCAACACACTATTTCTTTATCTTCCCATCATACGCTCAATAATTTATATCATCTTTCACTATTGATAATGTCACATACTTTGAAATGAGAAGATATAAACATTACAAAGGTAGTGATGAGATATTAAGGTCCAGCCCAATACAGCGGCCCAAAATATCCTTGAAGCCCAGGCGCAAGGAAAGACCCAGGGAGAAGCGTTAGGCCCGTTCGGCACGTCCCGAATGGGATGTACTTAAGACTTGGTTAGTTAGCTTATTCATGATTGATGGATTAGTTGCACTTAATCCCGAACGAACATTTCTCGAGTAACCGACTGCAGTTAATGCTGGATCATGGGGCATCAAGTGGCATGAGAGGCAACCAATCATATTAGAGCACCTCATACCCCCATCTAGTATAAATAAGCAGCATGTGTATTCATTGGAAGAGTTAGCATTTGTTTACTCACAAGCTTATATTGCATTCTAGCTCTTTATTAGCCTTTGGACCGTAACTACCGTCCGGCCATTTCTGTGTAATCACTATTACTGCGTTGATACAAGCAAGACTATTCGAGTGAATCTATCAGTTTTTATATTTCTTTTATACACTATACTGTACTAATTTTACCCTAGATTCAAGGCTTGTGTTGGGCCTTTGGGTCATTCGGTACTTAACTTCAACATTGGCGCCGTTTGTGGGAAACTAGCTAAAAGATTCTAAAGCAAAACACTGGTCTAAGAAAATTACACACGTCAGCATGGACAGATTTACATCTGAAAGTACCCATGATACGTCCAGGGGACAGGGGAGCAGCAGGTCCTCCAGAACCTGGGCAACAGAGAGCCGCACCAACGGTAGCCAGAATCAGGGATATGATGGGGATCTCACCCATTTAATCCCTGAGGCTGCAAGAAGAGATCCTCGGGTGATGACGAAAATGGCAGATGCTATGCGCCGGATGGCTGATGAACGTGACGGTGGATACTCTACGTACACCGGGGACACCGAATATTCAACTCCCTCACCAATTCACAGCATCCAGTCACTGCATTCGCATACCGAGGAGACAGAGTCGACAAGGGCTTCAGTCTACTCACGGTTAGGGCAAGGAGGAAGCCGAAGGGCCCATACTCCCCAGGTACCGACAACACACACCCTCGGATCGTACCCCATTCGTGACGAGGCAGGAGGCTCAGTACAGGGAATGAACTCTAGTGGTAAACCTAGTGGGGTGAAATTTCCAGTACATCAAAAGAGACGGGGATCAATTTACAAGGGGACGTCACGAGGCAGCAACACATCGAACGGAGAGAATCCCTGAAAGGATTGATTTAGTTACACCGCCTCGAACGGCCCAGGAGGCAGCATTGGCCGCCTTGCAAATACAGGTGAACGAGCTCACTCGTCAGCAGAATCAGACGCCCCCACCACCCCATGTGGGGATTACATCTCCCTTTACAAGGGAAATAATGGAAGTAGAGATCCAGAGGGATTGCAGGCCCTCGGTCAGCCAAGTGTATAATGGGGTAGGAGACCCCAACGCACACCTGATGAGCTACCAGGGAGCGCTCATGCTCCTGGGAGCCTCGGAGGCGGCCATCTGCAGATTGTTCTTTAGCACTCTTCGAGGACCTGCTCAGGAATGGTGCAGCCATCTGCAACCAGAGTCGATCGGAAGTTTTGCCGCCCTATCTACCTTGTTCCTGGCACAATTTGCTTCAAGTGCTACCCCGAAGCGGCACTTTAGCTACCTCACCAGTGTCCGCCAGGGGCCCAAAGAGTCCATCACCCAATTCTTAACAAGGTGGAGGGATGAGACGTTAAAAGTAGAGAATTTGACAGATTGCACGGCAATCACACTATTTACAGATGCTCTTCAAACTGGGGAATTATACCGGGATTTGAAGAAAAATCCAGGGAACAGTTATATGGAGGTTCTAGAACGGGCACGAAGGCATGCCGTTCTCGAACAAGAAATCACAATCAGGGATCGAAGGGCACCGCATGCACCTGCAAAGTTGGCCGATCGGCTGGGTCCTACCCCAGCGGCCACAAATGTTCTAAAACCAAACCGGTTTACACCACTCGTCCTTTCCATTGCTACCATCTTCTAGAATGAGAGGATGTGATCCCCCTTCCAACGAACACGAAAGCTTATTGGGGCGTTATGATGCGTACTGCCAATATCACAAGAGGAAGGGGCATTCTACCAACACCTGTCGGGCGCTCCAGATTGCCATAAAGGAGTTGATCCAGCAAGGTCATCTGGGTAAGTATGTGAATAAAGACACAAACACAGCAGGCCCCGTCCAGGACCAAAACAAGAGGTCAAAAAGCTGGAAAAGGGATGATTAGCGGGATGCACAGCCACGAAAATGATATGGGCATACAGTCCGGGGAGGAGGCCGGAGGTTCAGGAAATCCAGGGAAAAACCCATGATGGAAATCAAGGTCATCTTTGGCGGGGGAGAAACGGGGGACACGGCTGCCGAACGGAAGAAGTTCGAGCATAGCCTACTGGTAGCCTCCATCTCCGGCCCACCTAAGAAGAAGGGAAGGATCGAACCAATCACGTTCGGTCCTGCGTATGTTTTTGCATCACCAAGTCCGCACAAGGGCGAGTTGGTGGTAAGTATGTGTGTGGATAATGCCCTCATCCGCCGAGTGCTGGTGGATACAGGGAGTAGTGAACGTCCTCTATTTGCAGACGTTTGAGAGGATGAAACTGGGGAGGCACCAGCTGACACCCCTGAAAATGCCACTGGCAAGCTTCACGGGAAATTGCATCGATGCGGAAAGGACCATCTCCCTTCTGATCGAAATTGGAGATGAGGAACATCGGGCGGCAGTCCATATTACATTCGTGGTAGTGGACATTCAATGCGCCCACAATGCCATATTGGGCCGACCCGGGTTGGAAGACTTGGAAGCGGTAGCTTCGGTTCGGCAGTCCTGCATAAAATTCCCAACTGACACTGGGGTTGGGGTAGCACGAACAGATCCGGCCACAACCCGAAGCTGTTACAGGGAGGCGATGAAGAAGATAAATGATCAGGACCTGCGGGTGAATAACATTGTAGAGGAGTCCCGCCATACGGAATTTATCGCACGACCTGAGACGGCTACCTTGTTGGAATATGTTGAGCTTGATTCACCCTCCGATTGACAGGTTGCTATTGGAATGGATTTGGCCCCCGAGATTCGAGAAGTGGTGATTGCAGTACTAAAGGAGTTCCAGGTCCTGTTTGCCAGAGGGCCAGAAGATATGTTGGGCATTGACCCGAAGATGATTTGTCATGAATTAGCCGTTCGGCCGGATGTTAAACCGGTCCAACAAAAGAAACAATGCCAGGCAGCCGAATGGCAGGATTTCACCAAATGGGAGGTGGCCACACTACTAAAGATTAAGCACATCAGGTTAGTCATTCATGTGGAGTGGTTGTCTAATGTAGTCCTCGCCCCAAAGGAGTAATAAAGGCTATACTAATACAAGACTATTGACAAACTTGATTCACAATAAATATTCTTCAAAATACGCCGTCGGACCTCCTTCCTCCACAACATGGACGGACATGTTACTGGCATGTGGAACGTAGAGCACCCGAAGAAATCCTATCAGTGACACCATTTTGCTAAATTCCTTCCTCCCCCACAAAAAATAAAATAAAAAATTAAAAAAATAAAATGGGGGAAGAAGGAGACTTAACTCCCGAGGTCAGGGAATCCCAAAGAGGATAAACCTGCTCTCCTCCATCTAAGAACACTAACCAGTGCGGTAAAGTTTCTGGTGCGATGGGAAGGTGGACGAACGTCCCCAAGAGGATAAAATGTTCTCCATCTAAGAACACTAACCAGTGTGGTACGGCC